ATTTTGGTGAGGTGCCAAGCTATTTATCTGTCGAGGCGATCAAGAAGCCGAGCCGTTATGGAGTGACAATGACGAGGCGCTCTCAGAGGATGCCAAACCGGTGTTGCCTTTTCAAAAGGAATGCCGAGCTGTATCATTAACGACGAAGCGATCGAGGCAAAGGATAATGCCGAACCGCCTCGTTAACGACGAGGTATTTTTGAAAAGATGCTGAAGCATGAACCCCGAGGCGTTTCGTGTAGGCTATGCCGAGCCGAACAAACGACGAGGCGTTCTCGCGAAGGATATGCCGAGCCGCATAAACGACGAGGCGTTTTCATGAAAAATATGTCGAGCCGAATAAACGACGAGGCGTTTTTGTGAAAAATATGTCGAGCCGTGTTTCAAGGTAACGACGAGGCGTTTTTGTGAAAATATATGCCGAGCCGTGTTTCCAGGTAACGACGAGGCGTTTTTGTGAAAAAATATGCCGAGCCGTGTTTCAAGGTAACGACGAGGGGTTTTGTGAAAAATATGCCGAGCCGTGTTTCAAGGTAACGACGAGGCGTTTTTTGTAACAACTGTGCCGAGATATCAGCTGAAGACTCGGACATCCCGACCCTTGGTCTTCCAAAAAAAAGGTTCTCTGACTATTGGCGCGTGTTACCGACGTGGCCAGAGCTAGGTTATACGCCGCGGATCCCATGCGCTGTTGGACGGCTTCCCGAGATTCACGCAGAACTCACGCGCCTCGGCTTGTCCTATAAGAAGGTGGGTCCCCTTCTTTCTTTCTCATAATTTCAGATCTTCGATTTCACTAAAGGTAGCTCTCCCTTCTCTCTTCTTTCTCTCTAGTTTATTTATTTTCCGGCTAGGGTTCCGAGGTCTCCGCCGCTCCAGATCTTTTTCCGACGAAAGCTCACCGCATAGCATTGTAATTCCTGTACAAACTGTAAATCATGTTGAACCATTCCGACGATTCGTTGGATTCGCTTTTTAACTACGAGCCGAGCCGTGTAGATGCTGAGGCGAGAGGCGTAACAGGATCCTACGAGGCGTCTGTCTCGCCGAGCCCTTTCAACCGTTCATCTGAAGGTAACGAGGCGTCGAATCGCTCAAACCCATCGGGTGCTCGCTCTCCGAATAACGAGCCGTTGGTTTTGACGAGCCGCCCCCAGGGTCTTGCCTATAACGAAGAAGTTGATTATGCCGCAGTAAAAGCTGAGGATGAAGTGTTTCCCTTCGATCCGGTCGAGGCGAGGCTTGAATTAAAACGTCTCATGGCATCCGGAGGTGCTTCTTTTTCTGGGCAAGGGAAACAAAAACGAGTAAAAAGACAAAGACCTGACCCGCCTGGCTCCACGCTTTCCTCCCCCGACTCACTCGAGGCGTTGAGATGCCGTTTCGGGATATCCGAGGCGGTGGAATTCGTTCTTCCAGAAAAGAACGACCGAGCTGACAAACCTCCTGAGAATCACTTTACTCTGTACGAGGCGTTCTTCGAGCTCTGTTTTCTCTGGTTCCCGATCCCCGGGGTTATCCTCGAGTACCTCTGAAAACATGGAACTCGATCGGGTAGATTATGCCGAGGGGTTTGCGGCATATGATCGGCATCCTGGTTCGAGGTTTTGAATGCGGGCTCGAAATTGAGCTGGATCATCTGCTAAACTTGTTGGAGATCAAAAGGCTCCGAAGGGAGACAAATTTTTTATCTCCAACAAATTTTTGGACCGAGCGTTTTTTCTATGTCCTGGTGAACGAGGCGTCAGTTGGCGAGGATTTCGTTCAAAAAACCAAGACCGCTTGGGGAGCACTTGGTAGCCGATCCGAAGCTTTGCCTCGACTCGGAACTGTTATGGTATAATTTTTCCTTACTAAACTGGTTGATCCTGTGTTGTTTTTGCAGTTCGGAGCATTCTTCCCCCAGTTCCTGACGACCTCTTTGTTGTTCGAGATTCTCTTGCGGCTCGGAGAGTCAATTGGAGGAAGCACTTTACGTTCGAGAGAGTGGAAAGAGCATGAGCCATTCTCGCCGGAGTACCTGTTAGCACTTTGTCTTCAAATTCTTCAGGGGATACTCGGAAAAAATGGTGATCATCACCCTTAGAGACAGGAAGAGGCGTGAAGAAGAAGAGGCTGCAAGACGAGCCGCCGAGGCGGCTCAAACGGAGGCTGAGGCTGCCCCTCAAGATGATATGCCGAGCCGTGAAGGTGAAGGCGCGATCCGAGCTGTTGAAGCGAACGTTGCCGAGGTGAACGAGAAGGAAGTGGCGCCTGAGCTGGAACCGGGAAAGATCATCCCCGAGGCGCTCAAAGATGATTCGGCGGCTCAGAGCAGAACACCTCCCAGCTCGGCTATCTTGGCTCTCCCGAAGTCGTCAAGGCCCCCAACCTTGCATATGCAGAAACACGACGCTGGCCGAAAAAGATCAGCCACTGAGAAAGGGAAAGGTGTGGCTGTTCAGAAAGACGAGCCGCCTAAGAAGAAATGCAAGCTGGTTTCTGGTGATCCTGCCTCACGTAAACTGGTCGTTGACGACCCAGCTGCCTCGGCGGTGATGTTTTCGCATGTCAACAATGCTAACACGCGTCTTCCTCCTCCGGAGAAGCTGAGGAGGCCAAGGTCTTATGGCGTGATGGCGCAGCGCGGCACCAAGGTCTCTTCTGTTTAATTTTCCTTACTTTTCTTGTGTCGAATTTTGGCTAAGTGTTTAACACATATTATTTTTTGCAGTTTGTAGCGGCTATCAACGAGCTGATGGCTGAGTACGAGGCAGACCTGTCTAAGGTCGAACGTCGTCTGGACGAAGCTCGAAATGAGACCGCGTCGGCAAATGGGAAGCTGGACGAGGCGATGACCAGGGTGAAAAGGCTGGAAGAAGAGAAGATAGTTCTTCGTGCTGATGTCGACAAGGTTTCTGCCTCGGTCATTCGCCTCGAGGAGGCCAGGAGAGCTAAAAGCGCCGAGGTGGCGTTGCTAAAGAGGCGTATCGAGGCCAAGGATGCCTTGTTTGACGCTAAGGTCAGGCGTGCGAAGAAAGAAGCGAGGCGAGAGTTGACGGCTAAGTTTCAAGAACGCCTTTCCAAGGTGGAGGAAGGTTTAGCCAAGCTCGAGAAGGACAAAACCGATGAGAACGAGCTGGGGCAGATCAAGGGCAACCTTGCAATGATCGTCGACCTGAGGAAACCGGATGGCCCAACACTTGATGATGAAGAGGCGAAGCTAAAAAGTTGGGAGAGCGAGTACGTCGACGACGAGGCGTATGAGCGCATCGCATCCGAGATCCGAGGTGAGCTAGTCTTCTCGCCCGTGTCGCCAGACTCCGTAGACACCAGTCTGGGTAATGAGCCGATCGAAGAGACGGCGGCCAACTTGGGTGTCGTAGATCTGACCGGATCAAATGCGGGTACGCCAACCCTTTCGAACCTCCTCGCCGAGCGGGAAACGCAGTCCGCAGCTTGACTCTTTCCTTCTTCCCTTGTCTTTTACTTCACGCGTTTTATAGTAAAGGCCTGGATGGCTTTATCTATTTTTCGAACTCTCGTGTTTATGTAATTGGTGCTTGGACGGCTTTATCCACTTGACTTTTGTTGTTTTTTTTTTTATATCGATGAAAAGATTTAGCAGTGGTTATCGTATTTGTCTTTCCCCTTAGTCATTTTTTGGAATCGCTGTTTCCGCCTTTGGCGGTTTATAGGTTTTTGATGAAACTTTGGTTGGAACGAGCTGTTGTCGATTGGTTTGTCGAGCCGGGCCGAGGGGGCTTTTGTTTGCTTCATTGGCCGAACCGTTACGAGAGATTGATAGAAAGCTGGACTAAGGGACATGCTGTTTCAAATTCTGTTTAAGTCTAGATCCCGAGCTGGGGGTTGACTCTTAAAGAGATTGCCGTACTTTTGTGCCTTCGACCGTAGGTGCCGAGGCGTTTGAGTTAGGAAAAATTTAGTGCGAAGGCATTTTAGGTCGGATTTAGTTTTGTCCGTTTGAGGCGCTAAGTTTGGAACTCTCGTTGCCGAGGTCTGTGTCCTGAGACGGTATCAAAGTTTGATTGTAGACCGGTGTTCCCGAGGGGGTGAATGCGTTTAGCCGGGTTTTGAGAGTTCGTTTCGGTTTTAGAGAAAGCGATGTAGTCTCGACTTACAATCTCGTGTGCGATGACGAACCGTGGTGACCGATACGTTTTTGGTCTGAAATTTGTATAGCGCGCTTGATTTTAATCCATAGAGGATGTGACTTGCACCCTTGTCCTAGGAAAGGTGGTAAAAAGTATCGTTGCCTCGTTGATCCATTTAGAGAACTTTGTGACTGTTGCCTCGTTGTGGCCAGCAACGAGGCGAGATGTTTGGAACTATAGAAAGTTTTGCCGAAGTGAATGCAAGGACAAGAGAAAGTCTAGGGGAAGTATACATAGGTGATGAATGAAAATTAACCGAAGTGACAATAGAATTAAAAAATCCAAGGTGAACATGAAACAACTAACTGGTTTAAAACGAATGAAAAACTAGCCGAAGTGACAATGACCCTGGAGGTAGTAGACTCGACGAGCTAAAGTTTTAAAATTAATGAAGGTATGTGTATACGTACCCATTCCCCCCCCCCCTTTTTAGGAGGGGGGACAGCTGAATCCGTCCGAGAACGGACTGCCTACGTACCATTTGCAGGGATCAAGCCGTCACGTAGTTCATGCTGATGGTGTTGTAGCCTTAGTGATAGTACTTCTTTAGGTGCATTGCGTTCCACGACCTTGGAATAGCTTCGTCAGCTACCGTCGCAAGTTCATAGACTCCTGGGCGAACTACTTTTGTAATCTTGTAAGAACCTTCCCAATTTGCTCCGAGCTTTCCTGCATTCCTCTCGGCAGTGTTTTGGAACATTTTTCGAAGAACGAGCTCTCTTTCTTTGAATCTTCGACTTCAGACGTTTTTGTTGTAGTATTTCGCCGTTGCTTGTTGGTAGTTCTGGATTCGGATTAGAGCCTGGTCGCGCCTTTCATTGACCAGGTCAAGTTCGTCCAGCATCATTAAGTGATCCCTAGGAAATCCACCTCGGGGGAAATTACGCATTCCGTTCCATAGACAAGAGCAAACAGAGTTTCTCCAGTGGCTCGGCTCGGAGTTGTCTGGTGCGACCAAAGGACTCCTTCGAGTTCGTCTACCCATTGCCCTTTCTTGGCGTCGAGTTTCTTTTTCAGACCGTCTAGGATCGTTTTATTGGCTGCTTCGGCTTGTCCATTCGCCTGGGGATATCTTTGCGTAGATTTGCTCACACGAATTTTCCATTTCTCGCAGAAAGCTTCGAAGCGAGTTGGGATGAACTCGGATCCGTTATCGGTGACTATCTCGTAGGGGACCCCGTGTCAGCAGATGATATCTTTCCAGACGAAGTGTTCGACTTGAGCGTCCTTTATGCTCGCGTAGGAATCGGCCTCGACCCATTTAGAAAAATAATCTGTAAGGACAAGCAGAAAATGCTTCTGCTTCGATCAGTGTAGAGGCCCGACTATATCCATCGACCATCTCATGAAGGGATAAGGTGACGAAATCGACGACAACAGCTCGGTAGGTTGGTGGATTGTAGGCGCGTGCCGATGACACTTCTCACACTTCGCCGTAAACTTCTCGCAGTCCTTAACCATCGTAGGCCAGAAGTAATCGTGCCGTTTTATCTTGATCGCAAGTGACCTTCCGCTAGAACGATTTCCACACGCGCCGCTGTGCACCTCGTGCATTATCTTTCTTGCCTTCGGTCCCTCAACACATGTCATGAGCGGTCCTGAAAATCTCCATTTAAATACTTCGCCGTCGACGAGGACGTATCGCGCGGCCTGAGCCCTTAATTTGCGGGCTTCCCACTTGTCGAATGGTACTTCTCCATCGGCGAAGTATACTTGGATGGCACCGAGCCATTCTTTGTCACAGCCGTACTCCAGCTCGGCTAGTGAGGCGTCTTCGTCCATAACGATTGCTTCGCCGTTCTCTGGTTCCTCCTCGGGAGGGTTTATCAGCCGAACTTCTTCTACCTCTTCTATGCTCGGGCGTTCGATGAATTCGACTGGAATTGTTCGACGGAGATCCGGGTCTGAAGTTGAAGCAAGTGCTCCTAAGGCGTCCGCCGAGGTAAACACCTCGGGGTATTCGTGTGAGTTCGAACTCGTCGAACTTTTGAACCAAATCTCGGACCACTCTAAGGTAAGCTCTCATTCGTCCATCCTTCGCCTCATACTCTCCGTTGAATTGACATGCTACGAGCTGTGAATCGCAAAAGACTCTTATCTTTCGAGCTCCGATTCCCTGTGCTAGTCGTATGCCAGCGATCAGTGCTTCGTATTCTGCTTTGTTGTTCGAGGCGTGGAAGTTCAGGTGAAAAGACTGCTCCAATATTTCCCCAGTGGGAGAGGTGAGACGGATTCCTATTCCCGTGCTGTGTTTAGACGACGAGCCGTCGACGTGCAGTATCCACACTTCGTCTGGGGTTGGCTCGGTCGTCGGCTTGGTCGGAAGTTCGATGAGAAAATCTGCGAGCACCTGTGATTTCGCAGATGACCTGCTCCGATACTCGATATCGTACTCGCTCAACTCTATGGCCCATTTGGCGAGCCGCCCAGATTGGCTTGGGCTGTGTAGGATCGAGCGCAGCGGAAGGGTAGCGAGCACAATAATCGAGTGTGATTGAAAATATAGACGCAGCTTGCGAGCCGATACTACAACGGCTGGGGCGACCTTCTTGATCTGGGGGTAACGGGTCTCGGCATCGGTCAGTGTCTGACTGACGTAAAAGATGGGTTTCTGCTCGGATCGCTTTTCTCTTATCAGCACCCCACTCACGGCCGTAGCGGATACGGCGATGTAGAGGAAGAGGGATTCTCCTTCGACTGGTTTCGCCAGGTTCGACGGGCTCGCCAGATAACTTTTCAACTCCTGGAAAGCTGCTTCGCAACGCTCGTCCCACTCGAACTTCTTATTTCCTCGAAGGGTATCGTAGAAAGGTAGACATTTGTCGGTAGAACGGGAAATGAATCTGTTTAGCGCAGCGACTCTCCCTGTGAGCCTTTGAACTTCTCGCTTCGTTCTTGGAGAGGGCATCTCGATTAATGCCTTGATCTGCTTGGGATTCGCTTCAATGCCTCAGTGAGTCACCAAGTAGCCGAGGAACTCTACCGAGGTTACCGCGAATCTGCACTTCGCCGGGTTCAGTTTCATGTTGTGTTTGTTCAACTGCTCGAAGCATTCTCGTAGGTGCGTGATATGATCTTTTTCCTCAAGTGATTTGACCAACATATCGTCGATATATATTTCCATGGTTTTTCCGAGCTGATCTGCGAACATTTTATTGACGAGCCGTTGATATGTTGCCCCTGCGTTCTTGAGTCCGAACGGCATGACTTTGTAGCAGTATATCCCGCGATCGGTTATGAACACCGTTTTTTCTCAGTCATCGGGATGCATCAGGATTTGGTTATAACCAGAAAACGCGTCCATAAACGTTAACAACCTATTTCCCGCGGTGGCTTCGTCGAACCGGTCGATGTGTGGTAGAGGGAAACTGTCTTTTGGGCACGCCTTGTTGAGATCAGTGAAGTCTACACAGACCCGCCACTTACCGTTCTTCTTCTTCACAACCACTAGATTCGCAAGCCAGTCCGGGTATTTTGCCTCGGCAATTGATCCTACTTTGAGCAATCTTTCCACTTTGTCGTTAACTGCTTTGTCTCGTTCGGGTCCGAGCTTCCTCCTTTTTTGTTTGATTGGTTTGAAGGTTGGGTCCACGTTCAGCTCGTGACAGGTCACGTCGATGCTTATGCCTGGCATATCCTCCGCTGTCCAGGCAAAAGTGTTGATATTCTCCTTGAGGAGGGAAAGAAGCTCGCTTCTCAAAGGTTCTTCTAGCTTAGTTCCGATCTTGACGCGTCGTTCTGGACATGCTTTGTCTATGCACACCGAGTCCACCGCATCGCATACCGGCTCGGTGCACGTTTCGCGGCTCTCCGTCTTCAGCTTTTTGCGATCTACGTCTGCTCGTGCATCGGTGACGGGGTTCCTCAACTTGTGCTCTGCCAAGAAACACATTCGCGACTCCTTCTGGTTTCCTCAAATCGTTTTGATGCCTGCTGGAGTTGGGAATTTGAGGCAGAGGTGATAGGTGGAAGGGACAGCCCTCATCGCATTGATCCATGGAGTTCTCAAAATCACATTGTAGATTGCTGGATGATAGGTGACGCAGAATTCGACGATCCTAGTGACTCCGCCGGCTACCACAGGGAGCCTAATTGTGCCCATAGTCATTGTTGTTTCTCCTGAAAATCCGGTCAGAGGTTTGGGGATCGCCGTCACCTCGGAGAGATCAATTCCCATCCTTCTGAGTGTCTCCCTGAAAATGACATCTACCGAGTTCCCGGTATCGATGATTACTCTCGCTACATCGTGGTCTCTGATCGTCAATTCGATCAGTAGTGGATCGTTGTGTGGTCTATCTATCCCTGCCGTTTGCTCTTCGGCGAATGAGATCACCGTGTTTGGAATATCGGTTGGTTCTGTCCAGTTTTCCTTTGCTTCGGCTCGGCGCTTATAAGCCTTAATTGGGATCCTCCCATGATCATGTTGATAATTTGTCTCGGCTCGGGTCGTTCTTCGGGTTCACCTCTCCTGTCGCGCTTGGTGTTATCGCCTCGTCGGGGAGGATTTGCGGGTTCTGCCATGCCGCTCGGCTCGGTTCCCTCTTTTGGCTCATTAGGGACGAGGTCTTTAAGATTCACCGCGCTCTGGAGCTATCCCGCCGCCATCTTAGCCGCGAGTTTGGCTCCTAGAGTTCGGCATTGTGCCGTTGAATGCCCATAGGTCTGGTGATACTCGCAGAACGCATTTTCATCGTAGTTGGTGGGTCTTCTCACCCAGGTGTTGCTGTGCGGCTCTCCTCTTCCGCGTCCAGCGCCTACTTGGTAGTTGTGGGCACCTCCGCTTCTTGGTTCATCCAAGCTCTGCGTTGTTGTGTTGTTTGATGGATTGCCTTTTTTCGAGGGGCGCGTAAAAATTGAGCTCCGGATCGCTGCTTTTGTTGCTTCGTACTGCTCGTCCAGATTCTTCATCTCTTTTTCGTTTACGACGAAGTCTGATGACCGATGCAAGGCATCTTGAATCGTTTGTGGCGTGTTGAGGGCCATATCTCGTCGGAATTCAGATTTATACCACAAGGACCGCTTCAGAGCCTCGAGTGCAGCCTTGTCGCTTATTCCTTCTACCTTGGATACGACTGCCTTGAACCTTGCCATGTAATCCCGAAGCGGTTCATTCGGTCCTTGGGATAGTGTCCACAGGTCGGCATCAGAAGTTCCTCTATCCATGAACATCGAATATTGTTTAAGGAACAAAGCGGAGAGCTGTTGAAAACTGTCGATTGAATTGCACTCCTGTCTCGAAAACCATTCGAGCGCGGCTCCCTTGAGATGTTCTACGAAGAGTAGGCAATATCCGGCATCTACTTCCCGCTCGGTCAAGTTGGCGGCATTCCTTGTGAAAGCTCATCCCATTGCTATCCGAAACGCTGTGATGTGTGCCTTCGGATCGATCGTTCCTTCGTAGAATGGGATTCTCACCTTCCCGGGCTCATGAATCCTAGCCTCCGTGATTCGAGCCGTGAATGGTGTTCTCTGGGTCTCTTCAAGCATTCGATCGATCTCGGGCACGACACTCGTCGCGTTATGCACTTGAGACTTCATGGCGCGTATCTCGGCCACTGTCCGAGCCATTGAGGCTCGCAGCTCTTTGATTTCGAGGGTTTGTGCGTGAGTCATTCCCTTTTATTGGCGAAGTCGCTCCCGCTCTTCTCTCCTCGGCTCGTCTTCGCGCTCTGCCTGCTCGATCCATTGGAGGTTTTCCTCTTCTTCAGTCGGGTTGCCGCCGAGAGCCGGGTCGGTGACTTCGTCAGTCTGGATGCTGTTTAGTGTCGAGGCGAGCTCTTCTTGGCTTATTCGCCGAGCCGAGCCGTTTTATTGCGAGTTCGTAGTTCCGTCGTTTTGTTGGGTGTCCACGTTGACCGCGTCGTTCTCCTCTTCGTCGGCTCGTCGCCTTGAGTTCCGACGGAGTGGAGGCGGCTCGGTCATATTGATTCGAGTTGCCGCGGGAGTCTGTTCGCCGAGGGGACGAAACATTGGTGGAGCCAAAGGGTTTCTTGCGCCGCTACCCGAGGCTTCTGCAGGCATTAAGAAATCGAAACGTCTCCGGACTCCATCCATCGGATCGGAGGTTCCGGCTCTCCAAGTCGGGTGTCGTCGTTCGGCCGTCATTGCGTCGAGCCTTTCCGTAATCGCCTCGTTTCTTTTGTCCTGCTCGTCGATCTTCTTCATCAACGCAGCCATCATGTTTCGCATCTCCTCTTGGGTTTCAGTTGTCACCGTCGTCGTGCCTGATGATGGAGCGTCCTTCTCCGCGCCGTTGTTGCTGTTGTTGTTGTTATCGTCGGGGGTGTTGCTCGCCATGTTCTTCAGATCTTAAAGTCTTGTCGATTTAGAGTAAGAAAATTTCGATGTCCCCTCAGACGGTGCCAAATTGTGTGAGCCAAAACTCGCACAACCAAAGATTTGTTAAGGAAAAATTAAGGGATCCGAAATTTCTAGGGTTTATCACAAGAACAGTAAGATCAAAAGAAGATTTTTTGCTGGAAAAGTATTTAGGTCTTATTGCTCTTCAGTTGTGTCAAAGTTACATAATGAATCGCATACATCGGCTATTTATACTGATTCTCTAAACCGCATAGCCGAGAATCTCGAGAGAGATTTTCGGAATATTTCCTTATCGCTTCGCGCAGCCACCGTCACGATACTTCGCCTAGGGTTTTTATGGTCTTTCATCCTTTAAGGTTTCGGTTCGGCCCAATTGTGGAAGGAAGTGGCTCGGCCCATTCTCCTTCTTACGCAGCTCAGCCCATTCTCCTTTTCACACAGCTTGGTCTGTATCACCTTGCGGCACGATCCATGCTGCTTCAAGGGCTCGGCCCACAGTCATTGCAGGGCTCGGCCCATCCTGCTTTATGGATGGGCTCGGCTTGCTTCTTCACAGAGTTCGGGTTCGTCGACATCTTTCGACACTTAGCCATTTCGAAATGGTTAATTCAGCTAGGGTGGCAACCGACCCCAACAAATGGTTATTGACTCTGTTTTGTTTTGGTCATGGGTTCGTTTCAGTTGGGTTTATGCTATTTTGAGTTTTTTATAGAGCGGACTTCAGTTTGGGTTCTTCTCGAATCTCTTGTCCTTTGGTTCAGCTTTGGCTATTTCGAGAAATTTGGAAAAGTTCAAAGGTACGAATCATTTCGGCAGTTTAATTTTAGTGTTTTTGGTTTGTTAGTTGTTAATAAGAGTATAGAGCTTCAACATCATACTACTTATGCAGTTTAAGCATAGAGCTTCAACATAATCTTTTACTACTAGCTATACCAATCAAGACCTGAGAATGTGAAGTACAAAGCTAATTTAGTTGGAAGTCGTCTAATTAGTTGAAAAGGGAAATAAGAGATTAAGAATGCTGTTTGGAAGCTCTTAATTCTTGAACGATTTTTCTTTGAGTTTTCTAATGAACGAATGAATTATGGAGAGTCATTTTCTATTTTATAATATTTTTTAATAGATGTAAAGATGTTATTTCTTTTTCCATTTTAGATTCAGAAAAAAGAAATTTATCTTTCCCTCCTACAAAATTAAAAAGAGATTTTCTTTTAAATTTGGAAGTTGGTTCCAACAGTGTCAGTCAGATTTAATGGGCTAAAAACCTGAGCTCGGCCCATTTCACTCAGTATGAACCATAGTTAATTGAAATTAATTAGGTCAATTTCATTTTAAACAGAAGTAAACCGGAGACACGAGACACATCACCAACAAACGTGATTTTAAGAAAAATTATTAATCAAATTTTAACTGAATTCAAAAAAAAAAATTTAACTGAACTCGTGATAAACTAATCATAGCATCACATCACGTCATAACCTGACCCTATGAGCCTATAACTAATTACAAACTGATAAATATATTCATCACATCATATATAGGTCATAGCCTTACTCTATTAGTCTATAACTATATTTCAAACTGCTA